AAAATTAATTATATGAGCTAAAACTAATCATATGAGCTAAAACTAATCATATGAGCTAAAACTAATGATATGAGCTAAACCTAATGATATGAGCTAAACCTAATGATATGAGCTAAACCTAATGATATGAGCTAAAATTAATGATGTAAGCTTAACCAAATGATATGAGCTAAAATTAATGATGTAAGCTAAACCTAATGATATGAGCTAAACCTAATGATATGAGCTAAAACTAATGATATGAGCTAAAACTAATCATATGAGCGAAAACTAATCATATGAGTTAAAACTTATGATATGAGCTAAAATTAATTATATGAGCTAAACCTAATGATATGAGCTAAAACTAATGATATGAGCTAAACCTAATGATATGAGCTAAACCTAATGATATGAGCTAAAACTAATGATATGAACTAAATCTAATGAAATGAGCCAAAACTAATTTGAGCTTAAACTAACAATATGAGCTAAAACCAACAATATGAGCTTAAACTAATGATATGAGCTAAACCTAATGGTATGAATTAAACCCAATGATATGAGCTAAACCTACCGATATGAGCTTAAACTAATGATATGAGCTCAAATTAATGATATAAGCTAAAAGTAATGGTATGAGTTAAACCTACGGATATTAGCTAAAACTAATGACGTGAGTAAACCTAATGATATGAGCTAAAACTAATGATATGAGCTAAAACTAATGATATGAGCTAAATTGAATATCTGTGTTGCAATATTTTGAAGCTTTATCATGCTGCACATTATTGTAACAATTTAAAATCTACACGATAAATCTTTGAGCTGATATATAAAAAAGTTTATCTTTTTTTTAATTCATTTAGCACCTCTGAATGCCTGTTATTGCCTGTTTTGAGCTTATGTGAACTTTATGATGTTTAGGTGGTCCTGCCTTTGTCCGTGGACCGTCTCACTGCAAGGAACTTGGCTCCGATGTCACTGGACGACAACTTCCTGGCCTCGGTGAACGCCAGCAGGCTTCCTTTGGGCGTGAAGGTGATCACGGGGATCCTGAAGGAGCTTACCTCCCCCTGGATTCCGCTCACCCACAGCAGCTGCTCATCATAAACCAAAGGGTCAATCTGGATAAAAAAAGGACAGATAGTAAAGACAGAGGCTGATAAAAGCACAGGCACTGAATACCTTTAAGTCAAACCAGTTTGGGACAGGTTTAATCACAAGACAGCCTAATGAGTAACTAGAATACAGCATAGGTCTCGAGTCTTTGTGTCTTTTAGCAGAAATATAAAACATGAGACGGTATGAAAAAAAAAGCGTTTCACAAGAATAATGAACTTAGAAGTCAGCATTTAACAAAAATTACCATTCAAGGTTCGAGCTTTCCTCTCGTTTCTATATATAAGCCTCAGGACTATTTCCCCAGGATGGTTCAATGTTATGAAGATCATATTTTACTGTTAGCTGTATTTTATGTACATAATATTTCAATAACATGAAAGATCTACGGTTCTAATTAATGCCTGGCGCTCCTTCCTGGGCTTGTTTATGTGTCTTACTGTCAGGAGCGGGTTTGGGATCCATTTCACTCAAAAATAACAATCAAATTGTCTTCCAGATAGCATTTAATCTGGTGGTACTTTTAACATGTCTGTGGTTTTATAAATTTCATCAATGCCGGTCCAAACCACGATAAAGCCTCCACCGTGCTTAACAGGGGTACTGGACATCACTTCTTATTTTTAGATGATCTTTTTGATAATAAATAATAAGCAGCTATGATTAATCAGTTAATTTGACTGGATAAGTGTTTTTAATATGATAATTATTAGATAATAACAGTTTTATGTACCTGTGCAGGGTTGAAAACACAAAAACACGGAGACAGCAGCAAAAACATAAAAAACATTCGACTTCCGGTTTCCATGTTGAAAATTCTTCTCCTAAAAACTTTTCTCTTCGCTCCGAAAAACAAAATAAAAATCATGAGCCGGGAGTCAAAACGCTCCCAGATGAACACGAACTAAAGGGCTATCTGAACCTGTACTCATTTTAAAACACGACATATCCGGCAAATCACGTGTCTACTGTGTGGGGTCACGTGACCGCAGTCGCTTAACAAAATAAAAGCAGCGAACTCTTTCCAAACGTCCTTTTTCACATCACTAAGTTCTGTGATAAAACACAATATTTGTTCTTTATTCATTTATCTTTTCATTTAATATCGTTCAATTTTAAAAGGTCTGACTTCTGCTATTACTCTTTGTGCTGTAATGACCTATTTATTACAGTTAATTTTGACTTATTTAATTTTATGTACAAAAAAACAATTAAAACTACAACTAGCCTACTTTATGTGCAGAACTTCATAAGATTGCTAAAGCCCAAACACATCCTGCCTATATGTCACAATGGCCTAAAACCTTCAGAAAGCTTCAGTTTGCACAAACATGTAATTGGTGTAATTTTAGCATTTTTATTATGTATATACAGTAAATACTTCTTCTCTTATAGACGTAGATTGTATGCACATTTAATTTTATTCTTGCAGTAAAGCATATATGCATGGAATGAAAAAAAGATTTGACTTATATTTTGCTTTAACTAATGTATCAACCAGAACAATTAAAATCAATAATTTCAAAATGTGTTAATATTTGTAATTCATTTGTGTCTTTGCATGTACAAATACTGCAAACAACATCAAAAAATGCTACAAATCAACAAACATAACCAGTGTTTGAGAACTTTAGAGAAAAATACTTTATTAGATAGCAAAATAGGAATCATTATAGTGATGTTGTCTAGGCAAAACATTAATTAAACAAGAGCATTTGTACCGAGCCAAGAAAGAGGCAACAAAAGACAGTGATCTGCATAAATCTGTCTTTAGTACATTCATAAGAGGAGGAAAATTACCCTTTAACGGCTGCTAAAGATACTGTCACGTGGATCTTTAGCTTTACATGAGATTTGACAAAATTCATTTTATACCCTGAGAATGAGACAAATATTGACAATACAAAAATTGTAGCATTGATGGGTAATGTCAGTGCAAATACACAATCACAAAAGATGAAAAATAAGAGGCATGCTAGCTCTGTGGTCAGCGCCATGGTCTGCATCTTTTGTGCAAGTTCATTCAATGTGGCAACATCCTGCATGAACAAACAGCCAAAAGAAGAAAAGAAGGAAGGAGCAAAAGAGGTAAAAAAGGAAAAGAAATGTTTCTGGACAAGTAAAAGAACAATTTAAGAAGACTGGAAGACTACTAGAGTTCAAAAAATAGGCAGTGATTTGAATCAAAGTATATTAGAGTATCGTCTGCATATAGTGTGACTCTGAGCTCCGTTTCTTGTTCTGTAACGTAACAAATTAAAACATTCTGCCATGTCAAAAAGTAGGGATTAAGAGAGATTATCAGGACTATTAACCCAATAGAGGATAAAGTTTCAGACCTCATCCCATTGGTTCAAACTGCAATTGTGGGAGAGTAACAAAGTAGACTCATCCAACTTAAAATAACATCCCTTCAATATAATACTTAAGTGCAAACAGTGCCTCCTCTACTGTGATAGGAACATTTAAATATTTTCTGTGCAGTTGGGATTTTTGAGGAGTTTTAAAAAATGAATCAAAGTTATGGCAGTATTAGACTAATAAATGTTGCACCAAAAATCATAAATTGTAGTTTACCCTCCTCTTAACGAGGTTGGCCAATTCTCTGCTGGGTTTAGCTAATAAGGCCTTTTTCCATGGACTCCACTCAGCCTTACTTTATAGGTCTACTCAGCAAGGCTTCAGAGTATTTCCATCGGGTGATCCATCTGCTTCAAGCTTGATTATTAAGACCTACTTGGCCATGGTTCCAAGAGAGTCAAGTTGAGTCAAAGATTTGACGCCAGCAGACTGCAGGCAACTGATTGGCAAGAAAGCAATGATAAACACGAGAGCAAATTCAGCCCACTATTTTAAGAAACCTCACAAGCTTTGTTTTCATTATAGCTAGACCAGTTAGAAGATAGACCAAATGGACTTGATTTACAGGCTTTGACCAGCAGAAGGGAGGTGGCCCCGGCCTGGCCACTGCACTTTTATAGACAATGGCAGATGGTGACCGTTTTGTGACTTTATTTCACTTGTTTGCACATTGTCGTGTTGCGGTTGTCTCGGATAGACAAAAAACATCAACGGAAGTTTTGGGCAGCTGTGCTACGACAATCCCCTCCCACATCGAGGTGGCACTCGAGATATATTGAAAACCAAATGGACCAAAAGTTGAAGTGAATCATGGTGACACCAACAATAGAAAGAGTTTTAGTTCAGCATTCTCTAGTAGCAAGGTGTTGAGAGAGAGGAGCGTGTTGTGTTCAGGTTCTTAAATCAGAACATTGAAGAACTGTAAACACAAAGATTTCAAATTAAGTCTGAAAAAAAGACAAGTTCATTAAAGCTGCACTTCAAAGACAACTCTTTACCTCAGTTATAATTTGACTAAATGTCTGGGCAGCTGGTTGAAAGTGCATAGTGCACTTGATGGTGTGACTGTGGTGTCCTTTGAGTGATTTTCTTTCATTATGTCCTGCTTCGGCATGTTTTGTCTCCTGAATTAAGAGTCTAAATTTACAAAACTGAGCTGAGGTTTGGCAGAACAGATTCAAAACGAAAATGTGGATTGATGAGCTGTGAAACTATCTGAAGTAAAGAAAGGAATATCTTTTTGGTGTCATGGACTAAACACAAACAGCTGGAAATTCACAGAACTGGGTCTCTGTTTTCCAGGATGATTTTTTAAAGTGAGGTAAAAAGTTTGGTGATTCTCTCTGAAAGTAAATCTCTTACAGTTTTTAATTCTCTTTAAGGTTTGAATCTAAAAGACAAACACAAGTTTAAATTAAATCACAAAAACATTTGTCTAGATTGCACCGTTAACTCCTTCCTGATCTGGTTCTCTACCGGCCTCCATACAGGTGGATCTTAACAAATGAAATGGTCTCCCAGTAGTCCTTGTGGCCCTTTTCATAGATGGCGTAGATGTACTTTTCATCGTCTACAGAACCGCTGTTGAATGATGTGATGCAGGAGTAAGCACTTGGTCCTTCCCATATCTGGATGGCTTTATTTTCCCAAGATTTTCCATTTGTGAAGGACCATCGTAACGTCAGGTTCACTCCTGAGGGGGTCAGTGTGGAAGTGGGAGGTGAGTTAGTTACTTGTTAGTTACTCATTACTTTTGTTCTTACTAAAGGTAAACAGTATTTCTGTTTCCATTTTGTCTTGAATGTTATGTCACTTCATCAGAAGAAAATGTATTAACGCTTCTTACTGTGGTGCTCGTTGGAAGGGTTGGAGAAGAAGAGAACTCCGTCTTTTTGCAGAGCTCCGGCGGCTACGACCGGATCCACCAAACTGGTGTCGAAAAACAGCTCCTCTACGGGGAGAGACAACCCTCCATCCAGACTGCGGATCACCATGCGACACCGACAGTGGTAGGTGTTCTGGTTCCGCACGTTGATCATGATGCTGCCG